ATCATACTATGTGAATATTTATGCTCTGTGATGAGGTGGAAATGGCTTGCTAATGGTGATATAGGAATCATTTTGTCAGCTGCCTGAATGTTGAGATGTCATTTCACCTGTAATTTAAGGCTTTTCTCTGATAAGCATGTTCTCCATATACAATTTTTAACATGGTTTCTCCTAATCATACTTCTAAAGCATTGGTTAGAGGTGTAATTCTTCAGAGATTCTGGAGAACAAACAACAGCATGACCTTGCTGGAAAGCAGTTTTTGAGCCTGAGATGAGAGAGATGATGCTTTGGTAAGACTAATAGAGAGGTTAGCTAACAGAAACAGTGACAAAGGTTTTTGTTTAAGTTAACGATTTCCAGAAATACAACTTGTAGACCAATAATATTAGTGAACATGACTATGTGCTAGCTCATTATTCCCCATCCAGAACATTTTCTAAAGAAATTAAGGTACTGCCTTCATTTTGTGTATGTTGTTACTCTGTCAAATGAATTGTCTTTAGTCCAAGACTATGGCCACAGACTCCATGTCTGCTTCCCATCTGTGGTACACAGTGATTTTATCCAAGTTCATTGTAATAAATGTCCACAGGACACCTCCAGCCTTGGTCTGTTAATCTCTGAAAAAAAAATCCCAGACGGATTGCCTAAAAGGCACAGTTGAGAAATGGAAAAAAAAAAAAGCAGCTGAATAAATCTGTGTTGCTCACCAGATGTCTTCATGAGCAAAATTTGCAAATGCTTATTTGTCACATACTGTAGAGTTACAAAAATGTCCATTTGTTCATGTTTTTGTTGGTGTGAGACATGGGCTAGAAGTCAAGGTCAGCAGGCTCTTGATCATCCTAAGGTACATGCTGAATCATACAGGACAGCGTGACATTACTACATAGCTAAAATGTAGAACTTAAAGCATCTTCTAGTTTTTTAATTATTTGGGGGGGGGGACGGTATCTTAGAGCAAGTAGTGCTGCAGTGTAGATGTGCTTCATTTCTTGTCTTGCTCTTTCTCTCTCTAGCTGGTCAGATATCACCAGTGATGGGTACTGAGTACCTAAGTCCCTCTGTGATAGGAAATGGGATGCTGGGCCACATCCTGAGGATTTGTGTTTCTGAGTGAGGAATGTGTTTACCTTCATGGAGAAAATGTTTGTTGCTGCTTGGAATTGTCCCTCTAGATACAAAGGGGGAGAATCCTCTTAGCATTTTTTCTTAAGCGTAAGATTTTAGAAGTTCTATGTTTAGGAAGCTGCCTTCCTAAGCTATGTTTGAAAAGAGGCCCTGCAGTGGCCTCTTCCTTAGGTGTGTAACAAAAATCAACCCTGCCTCCCAAAATGTTCCATATTATGTAAATTTATCCTGTGTGTCAATTTTAGGAAAAGCTACTGTTTATTTCTGACTTAAGAAACACAGATATAGGTGCTTTGTGCTATCATAGGAGTCCTCCACTTGAGGATTTGCAGCTGACAAGATTTTCTAAAGCAGATGGTCACACTGTTTTACAAAAGCCGAACTGAAACACAGGAAAATGGAAAATTCACAGGTTAACATGGGAGAAATACCCACATAGAGCCAAGGCATGTGGTCTCCCAATCCATTACTTGTACTGGATTGTATCAACTATAGTCTGGTATCAAGCTATGTACAGATACAGTATTAATAGTATCATGCTTTTGTTGAAATTACTGCATAGAATGCTGACAACTAAATAGATGAAGAACATGCTTAGATTATTTATATTTGTGATCTTTTATGTTCAACATCAAAAAGCTCCCCAGTGCAAGTATATACTAATTTTGAACTTGCTTATACATGTAAGAAATTTCAGCGGTTTGATGTAACACAAGAAAATGAATAGACTTTTGTAAGTAAAAGAAGCGGAGAAAAGAGAATCAATCCCTGAGTGGATTTTTGAGGCCCCTTATTTAGCATTTTGGTACTAAATAAATTTCAGATGGTTCAAATATCTTAGTGCAGAGAATCTGCACTCAGAAATCATCAGCACAGTAATATTATGTTTTCTTTTTCACTTTTTTTCATACCTTTTTTTTTAAGTCAAACTAAGAAAAAAATCACAGCTAGCATGTGCCTCATTTGTTAAATGTCACTCCTAAATATGTGAATGTTTTGGCTGTGCTTCAGGCATTAAACTTGACAAGTAGCTTTGACTTTCATCTGTTTTCTACAATTTCACACCTTTTGCTTTCACTGAATATTCCTTTGTTGATACATTCATAATTACCCAGCAAAAGCTACCAGAGCAACAACAGAGTATGGTGACCAGGAAATGACATAAAGCAAGATGACAGTCAGTGCAATTTTGGCCATCTTCCACTCATTTTTCATTCTCTGATACTGTTTCTGGAACTCTTTATTTCCGTGTTTGCATCCAAAAGCCTGAATAGACCTAGGGGAAATGAACATACAACAGCAAAAAAAGGAGATAGGGAATTGAGCAAATAGCTTCATAAAGTGGAGCAACAAGTACTCTTTATGCTAGTTTATGCTAAGTGTCATGCACTTTTAATGTGTGTTAATGTATATATGTGACCAGTCCTTCACAATTTGTTGCACTTTTGTTGCACTAATCAGTGGCAAATTCATATGTGCTTCAGTGAAGAAAATAGTCCTGTACCAGAAGAATTTCCATATAAACTGGGTATTCAAGCATTGAACAAGGCTGTGTTAAATATCGTTAGAGAAGTCTTTGCTTCCGTAGGTCCGATTTTGCTACCTTACTCTCACTTTGTACTTCTGAGCTGTGTGACTAAATATACTGATACCTACAGGACAGATACCTACAGATTACAAATGTAGTGGCAGACATTGACCTTTATTTTTACAACAATAATTTTTCTTTCAAAGGCCTTTGATTAAACTGTTTATCTCTTTTCACCCTTTGTCAAACTTGTAGTTTAATTTGACCTATTTTTTTGTGGAATAGTTGTGGTTACACCATTGTTAGGTGTCTCTGATATTCTTTTGATTGGTTAATTTCTGTAGTCATTTCTCATCCTTCAGCTTTCTGTTGCTGCTACTCATACCCTTTTCTGTAGCATTAGCCAATATACTGAACTGCTGTGGCTCAAATTCAGGAATGGCCCTTCTAAGCATCATGCTTCTTACCATGCTGACTATTGACAGAATTCTTGTTTGGTTTCCTGTCTCAGTCATGCATACAAATTAAAAGTGAAAATCTTCCCAATTTTCTTCTCTTAGTCTTTGTTTCAAGAAAATAAGCAGACACTGAAATGGAAGGATAAAAGCTTAAGACTGTTGGCTACTTACTTGTTGGCCTTCTTGATAGCCTCAAATATAAAGACATAGCTGTATATGATAGCAATCAAAGGAATGAAAAAGACAAAACAGAAAAGCAGCATTGTGTAGGCACGGACTGATGGTGTCAAAGTCATGTAGTCCCAGGAACAGGAAGTCATCAGACCCTCGGGAACATATGCACCTACAAAGAAAGACAAGAAAAGGCATAAGCCATGAAGTGATTCTTATTCTGTGTGCAGAAGGAAGAGGAAGTTACTCAGAATAGCACGGGATTTAGTCCCATTCTCATAAAGGGAAAAAGAGTTTAAAAGGATATACAATTCTTTGTTCAAATCACTTCTTTTTATTTTCTTTTACTCTATTGCCCTGTTGTATGTTTGGAAGTCTAAGGCTTCAGATCAGAAAACTGAATAATTTTGTTTCATTGAATCATAGAATGACTTGGGTTGGAAAGGACCTTAAGATCATCCAGTTCCAACCCCCCTGCCATGGACAGGGGCACCTCACCCTAGACCATGTCACTCAAGGCTCTGTCCAGCCTGGACTTGAACACTGATGGGGATGCAGAACTTGCAGCTTCCTTGGGCAACCCATTCCAGTGCCTCACCACCCTCACCATAAAGAACTTCGTCCTTATATCTAACCTGAATCTCCCCTGATTAAGTTTAAAGCCATTACCCCTTGTCCTATCACTACAGTCCTTGATGAAGAGTCCCTCCCCAGCATCCTTGTAGGCCCCCTTCAGATACTGGAAGGCTGCTATGAGATCCAGACTGAACAGCCCCAACTTTCTCAGCCTGTCTTCATATGGGAGGTGCTCCAGCCCCCGATCATCCTTGTGGCACTTCATTTTTTTTTATTTTTTTTTAATTAAAGAATTTTAAACACATGGGTGAACTTTATTTTGCAGTTGAAAGAACAACCAGGAGAGCAAAGACTGCCTGCAGTGCTCATGTGGTGCCTGGGGTGTTTCCCATGGTGAAAATGAAGCAGGTGTACAAGCAGACTCCATCGCTGCAATGAATCCTTCATTTATCTCCTCTCTCCTCTCTAGTGAGATTTTTGTTCTCCTTCACCAGTGAAGGGATACTCCATACCACCCCCCACACCGGGCTCTATCTTCATTTCCAGTGTTCACTCCTCATTCACAAGCTTGACATTTGGACATTTGTCACAAACAAGTTCATGAGTCATCTGGAAACATCCAGGACCCAACTGGGTGGTCCTCATCTCCTGATGGCAATTCCCATTTGCCAGGTGCCTGTCTGGCCACTGGCTTGTTCCTGACAACTTCTACAAAGTCTCTTCATATGTAACCTCCAGGTCCACAATGATGTCACTTCCTTGGGGAATGTTCCTGTCTTGTTGGCAAGGGTTACCTCCAAACATGAATCCAAAGTCCCCAGAGAGTGTGAGAAGATGTCTCCATGGGAGCTCTGGTGCCCATCCTTCAATTCCTCCTCATGATATGCGTTATACTGCTTCCTCTTCTCCTCATCTGACAGCACCTTATAGGCAGCCCCATGTCCTGGAACTTCTGTGCCATGCGGTTGTCAGGGTTCTTGTCAGGATGAAGCTGCAGTGCCAGTTTCTGGTAGGCCTTCTTGATGTCCTTGAGCGAGGTGCTGCAGGACACCTCCATGATCTTGTAGAAGTCCCTCATGGTGGCAGCCTTCCCACAGAGGCAGAGCAGCAGGAGACAGAGGCAGCCGAGCCAGCCGAGGGCCATGACGTGCTGACCAGGCTTGCCTGGGGGCAGCAGCGAGAGGGAGCGGCGATTCAGTTCCTGAATATTGTTTAAAGCTCAACATAGTTAAATGGCATCTCCCCAAACACTTCAGTCGATCTTGGATTGGGCCTGTATTGGTTTTAAATATCTCCCTTTCCTGTCAAATTGCTGTCTTCCCAAGGAGTGAAATGAAGCTGATTGCTACAGCTACCACTTTTTTAAGCTTGTGCAGCCAAGAGAAATTTACTGTGCAAAGGAGAAAGATTTATTGTGCAGATCAAATTAATTTTGTCATGAAGTATAGTTGAGTACAAGGAAAATACATCATACATACATAATATTCTGCCTGATATGAAATATAATCTCCTTAAAGGAACTGTGTCAAATTGTTAAGTAAAAAAGTTGTCAACAGCAGTATCTTATTAACTTTCTATTTTAATTTTCACTGTTTTCTGTTATATTTTCTGTTGAACTCTTAAAAATATTGCACCAGATGTGCTCAGATGCATCTAACTGAAGTATGAGAGTTAGTACTGTGGGTATATGCAAGATAACAACACCCTTCTGTCCTGGGTTCAGCTATAGCAGTCAGTTTTTCTCCTTCTAAGTAGCTGGTGCAGTGCTGTGGGTTTGACTTTCAGCCTGGGAACAACGCTGATAACACCGATGGTTTTAGTTGTTGCTCAGTAATGTTTACCCCAACCAAGGACTTTCTCAGTCTCATGCTCTGCCAGGGAGGAGGGGAAGCCAGGAGGAAGCAGAGACAGGACACCTGACCCAAACTGGCCAAAGGGCTATTCCATACCACAGCACGTCATTCCCAGTATAGAAACTGGGGAGAGTTACTTGGAAGGCCCAGATCGCTGCTCGGGTTGGGCTGGGTATCAGTCAGTGGGTGGTGAGCGGTTGTGTCCTCTCCCCTTGTTATTTCCCTTATCATTATTATTGGTAGCAGCAGTGGTTTGTGTTATACCTTAGTTACTGGAGTGCTGTTATCTCAACCCATGTGAGTTACATTCCTCCGATTCTCTTCCCCATCCATCCGGGAGCGGGGGAAGGAAGGAAGAGGGGGGGAGTGAGCGAGTGGCTGCGTGGTTCCAAGTTGCCGGCTGGACTTGAACCACGACACCTTCAAGCAACTATTTTACATTCTCCAATTTAGAATCTAAGACTATATTGTCATTTTGTTGTTACAATAGCTACTCATTCAATTAAAGGCTGCTTCTCCCATCACTGCAGTTTGCCTGCTTAAACATACTTCATGTTTATGGGGGACCAGAATCACAATAACAAGACAATAACAAAATTCTGCTGAAATACTACTCAGTAACTGAGTTGGTTGCAGCATCCTTTGGGAAAGTCAAACATTTCTGTGTTCTTACCTCAGCTGAGCTGACACATTCTCTTCTGGAATTAGGAAGCGCAATAATGGGCTAAAGTTTTCAATGATGAGTTCATTCTAACTTACTGACTGAAACTGATGACTCATACGAAACAAATAATGGTAGTGAGATGGATTGAAATGAAGAATAATAACAAACTCTATTTGTTACAAGTTGCAAGGATCAAGATGCTGCATTTGTGATCCAATTTGGAGGCATAAGATTCACATTTACAAAAGCTAATTAGTTACTAAATGACATCCTTATTGGAAGCCTTAGTGAAGATACCAATGGCTGAGTGGAGAATGGGACCAAAACCTAGTGCAATCTGCCCATCTAGAACATAGTCAAGACTTACTGAAGATGCACTTGCAAAAAATACTCGAATTGTATTCCTCTTTTAAGTGAATTATTTCACTTTTATATCATTGGATTTGGTTCAGTGGAAATAGGCATGGGAAAATAGACAGGTGCATCCTGCCAAAGCCAATTTTGCAACTGATTTTATCTACTGTTCTTTATTAAGTAAATAATGAGCTTAAGGAAAAGTGCCATTGTCATATAATATACTATAATACACTTTTTTTTTTTTCCTTTTGGTTAGAGATCAGTTTCAATACGTTTTTTGTCAGTTTTCTCCAAATCTATTTATTCAAGCCTAATATGCAAGCATTAACTCAACCCTCTTCTATAACTGTAATTGGTTTTTAATCCAATGCTATAAGGGAAAAAACACTTTTATTCCATTATTTAACTTACTCCATCCAAAGAAGGGCGGGAGGCTCCAAGCCAGTGAGTACAGCCAGACTCCTGCCAGGATTATTAGGGCCTTCTTCTTAGACATCACTCCAACAGAAGCCAGAGGTTTCGTGATGACAAAATATCTGTCCAAGGCAATCACCATCAAAGTGATCATAGATGTAATGCCAAAAAGAGCTCCGCAGAAGGCATACAGCTCACAGCCTTTCAATGAAGATGACAGAAGTAGCAGTGACATTAATCTACCTGTGCTAATTAATTTCTGGGAGAGTTCAAGGCTGTGTTTCTTGTGAACTAATGTCTTCTGGAATTTGTAAAGCAGTGGAACTTCAGTTTTGCTGCAGTTGAAATGCTATCTCAAAGCTGCTGTCTATCTTACCAATTACATTATCTATGGAGATAAACTTCAAAGATTTTGTTTGCTTGAATTGCTGGAGACAGTGACACTTAACGTATTTTCACTCACTGATTTCTGATGTTTCTAGTGAGATAGTTTTAACAGTCCATTAGTAGCTTGTTTAACTCCAGTTTTACTGCAGCTCCAGTAGAAACAGCTGTTTGTTGTTTTGTTTTGTTTTGCTTTTTTTTTACAGTGGATTATAGCTACTTTGATACCATGGAATCATTTATATTTCAAGGTCAGCATAGCTGAAGTAAATACGCAGACTATGAATATATTAATGAGTGATTCTGCTGAAGTAAATATGCAGACTATGAATACATTAATGAGTTATTTTAATTATTGAAACAGCCTAGAGATTAAAAGCAGTGGTTTGGATTTTTATTTTAATATGTACTCTTGAACCCTTTGTGGAACTAAAAAAAAACATGCTTTTGGTCATCAGAGATCAAAATAGCAACATTACTTCTCTCACCTTCCTCTCTGTTGGTACCTGTTCAAGAGGCAAATACTAGTCTTCCTTTTACAGCAGTTACATATGAAGAATGAAGGCACCTTCATTCCACATCTTACTGCACAGGAAATGTTCTGTTAATATTTCTGTTGTGAAAACTCACTTTTGCCAGGCTATCTTACCTCACTTTGCCAAGTGCAAGTCCCAGAGCAGGTTATTTAGAAGAGCTTTTAAACTGGTGTGTTATGGGATGGCGCTTCTTGAAACTTAAGAGCTAAGTTATGACATAACTGGAGAAGAATTCTGGCAAGAAGACCAGTCCTGTGCCTTATGTTGCCAATGTCACCTTTGTATCTACCTCATGGATGTAATTTTCCTCTCCCTGCTGGGAATATATTTATTGCACACAGATAAAAATGTTCAAAGAAACTTTTGTGTCATCGCTGAAACAATGTTGAAAAATGTTCTCGACATTGTAAGTGTACCTGAGGGTAAGGAAATAAAAGTTTAACTGCCACTATGATAAGAACATACTGATAATCTTATAAAGAATATGTACAAACCTTTCTCACCAAAAATCCAGCGTTTGTGGAGGCTGTTGGTGAAAAAAACTGGAGACTGTGTAATGGACATCAGAAAGTCACTAATAGCTAGATTGATGATGAATACGTTGGCTGGAGTCTGAAGGCTCCTACTCCTAAAGAGATCAGAAAGAATGTTGCTAAACACTGCTGCACTGTTAATTATGTTGTTGCTCTTTCCTGTGAGCCTTGTCAGCTTCACGAATATCAAGGCACACTATGTAGAAAGCTAGAGCAGAGTGCTTCTCATTTCCTTCACAAAAGAACACAAGCAAGGCTCAGTTTTATACCATTATACTCCTGTGCACTTTAGAGGATTGTTTTGATAACCAGCTCAGTGATGAGAATAAATTGTATTGTTCTTTAAATATTCTGACCCAGTGCACTGCATGTCCATGATTAACAGGAAATTAAAGTGATGTACTCTATGGATTTCTGGATCTAGGTCATGTTAAGCAGGGGAGGCGAGTGCATTTTCCACTGCTAAGATCAGCAGTGACTTCCAAATACAGGGATTAAGCAAACTCACATGTACCACATCAAGCATTTTGGTTTACCTCCATTCTTCCCTGTGACTCTCATTTCACTTGCCCAGACACTGACTTTAAAGAGATCTGTAGCCCTTCAGTGTATCCTGCCTGTGTACATTACTCACAGTATTGTAGTATAGTGTTTTAAAGGGTACACATATAAGCTCACTTGAGAGCTCTGCAGTTTGGGAGCTCTGTGTAATATTTTAGCTCCTTTCTCTAATTTTCAATCTGAGACACAATTGAAAAATACCAGAAAAAATGATGAGTTCTTTGCACTGATCCAGAATCAATTGCTAGGACTGCTGTAGCCTATTTGCAATTTAGGAGCAAGGAGATATTAGTAGTAGATGTTTATGGGCCTCTTGTATTTGTTCAGTAGTCTGCAAAGTTAGTTACTGAATATATTTCTGTTTCAGGCAGCTGGTTGTCTTACAGTTTGCCATTACTTGAGACTGCTTTGTAGGCATCTGATGTGTTATCCAAACTTCTGATATACTTATTACTTTGCAATCGATATCCCTTTCTGTCTTCGCAACATCTTCAAACAAAGACAAATGTTCGTCAGTGGAACTGCAACTGCCATGACTGGATTTCCTGTATGGGACCAGCCAAAGAGCTAAGCTAGCTCAGGTACTTCATCCTCACGTATGTGGTCTGCATGCCAACACCTTTCTGTTCTTAAGGCCATATTGTTCACACTGAACTGTTGGTATCTACTCTGAATGCACATACTGATACCTACCATTTAATGCACCACAGAAATATAAGCTCAACACCCAGACTACTTTCACCCACACTCCAGTGATTCAAGTTAACACAGCCAAATTATCATAGAATTGCTGTTATTTTAGTCTATTAAATTAGTTCCTAAAGATCAATGATGAAGTAGAAGCTTACTGGCCTGGATATCATGCCAATGCTCTGCCCAAGGGTGACAAAACAGAAACAGGATGACAAAACAGGAATGGTGAAAATACCACATTGTTGTCAGAGATCCAATTTTCTTCAGATATAAAAGTTGGAATGTGGCTTTAGTTAAAAGGAAATAAGCCAAGTGTTAGAAAATGTGAAAACAAGAGACATGACAGTAAGGAACAGAGTGGGAAAAGAAACTGAGTAGTACACAGAACTTCTAAAATAGAGAAGATACGTGGGAGACACAGGTGCAAAACATCCCATCAGTCCAGTGCAGACACAATTCAGCCAACAGAAAAAGAAATCACTGCATGATTTCTGCTTTGGCTGCTTTTCTATTGCTTGACATATCTGTGTGGTTCTTTGCGGTTTTACTAACAATTTTCCTATGGCTACTGGTTAATGAGAGGGAGTCAGAGAGAAATGGCAGGTTGTCCTTTTTTTTTCCTACAGCAATGTTTCTTGGTGCATTTTACTATGTCTGCATAGTAGTCTGATAGTACATTTGTGCTGCATTTGCAGAGCACAGGCAAGGTACTGTTAACGTTCATAAATCTGAGTATTTTTTAAAAAATCCAAAAGACAGATACCTGCAGAAAGCATAGAAGACCAGGAAATTACCCAGACTTCCTGTGATTCCCACTATAAGAACGACTACCCCAATTGTATAGTGGGTATGGTCTGGGACATCCACTGTAGGAAAGGCACCAGGCACATCTTGCACTGTCATCTTCTGTGGAGTAAACAAGAGGTCACAGGTATATTGTCAGACTTTACTAAATAAACTGGCATGGGCTTCTCTAGAGGAGGAAATGGTCAAGAATGCAAAAAAGCAGCAAGCAAAAAAAAGAATAAGCTAATTAGTTTTAAATTACATTTACTGTTGATCATCTTCAGGAGATAAATATGCCATCAGCAGTGCAAATGTCAAAGGGCTGTTTATATTTTTACTGTTGGTTTAGAGTTTTGATGAAGAAAGGCAATCAATTCTCTCCCAAAAGAAAGATAGGGATAGAGAGAAGAAAAAAGAGAGACCCTTTTCATTGCATCTGACATCAAGTAATGCAGTGCTAAACAAGTAAGTTTTCTGTAGTTTTCATTTCAGGAAAGTTTCTGTAGCTGTGAAGTACGATTTCTGTTTTCCTCTGACATCACTGGCTAGATTTCTCTAAGTAAGTGGAAATGATCTTCTATGGATAAACATGCGTTTATTCCTTTAGTAGTATGGCTATTTCATTTCATTTCTCAATGAATAACCCTGAGTTGTGAGCTGCCCTCAAGACTCAGTTACCAAAAGCCTGGCAGCATTCAACAAGAGTTACTTGGAAACTAAATTAAGGATCAGAAAAACTAAAACGCAAATCCTTTATACCATATGCATGGTTTCCGTACCAGTCCTGTTTTCACTCTACACTGAGTTAAGGTATTTTGCTCTCTGTGAAGGATGTGATAAATCACTTAATGAAAGCATTTGTGTCTTAATCAACTAATAACTCACAGCAAAATTCAGTAGCCAAGTCTGAAGACAACAGCATTTTAAATAATAATTTAAAAAACTTTTTAAATAATTTAAAAACAAGTTTTAGGCTGAGTGACGCAGATTAGTAATGAAGCAAACAAGGCTGCTTCCAGGAGGCAGAATGACCTGATAGACCTTGAAGAGGAGAGAACAGCTGTCCAAACCGTCACTGTTCTGCAGCCTTTTGCCATAAGGTCAGGTAGGGAGACTTAAACACTCACCTCTGTGCAACTGCCACTGTCCTAAACGTGTCTTGGCATCAGCTCCAACCAGCTAATGGAGTCATGACAAATATCAAGTCCTGTTCTCACTCATCTGCATGGACAGATCCTGTCTGTTCTTCATAGCCAGGCTTACCTCATTAAGGGTGGCAGTCACTATGGAATGGCATGGCAATGCCACTGCTCATAGCTCGAGCCTGCAAGATGCAGCCATGGCATTCCTCAGCTACTGAGCTAAAAGAATCACACCAGGATTGAGAAGAGCCCAGGAAATATTTTGAATCGTTTGTATCCTCCCTACTACGAACACTGTCAACTTGGCTGTGGCCTAGGATCCAGGACCAGGGAATTGCCCGTATCAAAATCTGTGCCTGTATCGAGCTCAAACAGTGTTATGAGGCTGGATATATTCTTTTGAATTGTAAGTACTGACAGGTGGTGGTACAGCTGTCATGTGCAGTCATTCTTTCCCGGGAAAAAGAAGGTTGCTGGTAGGAAAGCAGGAAAGTGCACATGGGTAGATATGAAGTTCTCCCTTTTATGCTGCAGTTGTTTATGCAGTAGTTGGTATTTGCAGTCAGAGTGCAACTCAGAAGTGCCTTTGACAATACCCCAGTTATCAAAGGCAGTGGGTATTTTCAGACAAGAGAGGCAGACGTTACTTCTGAATACATCTGTGAGTTTGGGCAGAAGTTATGAGAGACAGTGTATATTTAAAACAAGTGTGGTAATAGCAGGAGGTGGACCCCAGGACTGTTCGGAATTCTGGAAGTTTGTCTTTGCTTGCATGCTGAAGGTCTGCCTGCAGCAATCCTCAACAACAGGAAAGCACTCCCTGGATTTCTGCACTAGCAGCAATAAAATGCTGGACAAATACTCTGATCTTAGAGAAAGAAAATGTGGCTCTGGCTGTTACTGTAATTGGAGCAAAATGTTGAAGTTGATACATTAGCTGAATAACAGAATCATGGCATTGTTGTTTAGGTTCCTGCAGCAAAGTGTAAGTTGGCGTCACATCACCAACAACAGTGGGCATCTTGCCTAGGTAGAAATTGCTGTGCTTAACACACTGCCAGTAAAATAACCTAAAAAAATCCCATACTAATAGCAAGTGGAGAGGGAGAGTCTGAGATAAAAGTGTTTTAAATAAATGAGATTGGGTTTTCTTTGATTTGTTTTGTTTTTATTGTTTGGGTTTTTTTGGTTTTTTTTTCCTTAGCCTTGTGGCTAGAACGTATTTTAACTGCTGTTCTACAGAGAGTTCATTATGATTATTAATGGAATGGAGATTTCTGATGTTTTTCCTTGTAGCTATCCATTTAATCAGAACTGGATCAAGGTAGAAGAAATGAAGCAACTAAAGGAGCTTGTTTTGGCTACAAAGAACAGATTAAAGTTGCTTTAATTTGAATTAAATTTGTGGAGGACTGAGGACAAGGAAAAATTTAAAAGGTAAATATAGATGCACAGAGAAATCACAAGAGATAAAAGGTTATTTAAGGGACAGGAAAAAAATAAAGGAATTATATTTATAGTGGAGCCATAATAGGACGTAAGTAATATGGGGGGAAAAGAAAGGTCTGTGGGAAAGAGGAATAAATTCACATTTTAGTGTGGATTTCCTGTTGGCCTGGGATTTTTAGCGCAGGGTCCAATTCTGTTTGTTCTCTAAGAGGGTGTCGTGGTTCAAGCCCAGCCGGTAACTCGGAACCACGCACCCTCTTGCTCACTGCCCCCCTTCATCCTTCCCCTGCTCCCGGACGGATGGGGAGGAGAACTGGAAGAATGTAACTCCCACGGGTTGAGATAAGAGCAATCCAGTAACTAAGGTATAATACAAACCACTACTGCTACCAATAATAATGACAAGGGAAATAACAAGGGAAAAGGACATAACCGCTCACCACCCGCCGACCGATACCCAGCCCGACCCGAGCAGTGATCTGGCCTTCCGGGTGACTCTCCTCAGTTTATATACTGGGCATGACGTGCTGTGGTATGGAATACCCCTTTGGCCAGTTTGGGTCAGGTGTCCTGTTTCTGCTCCCTCCCGGATTCCCCTCCTCCCTGGCAGAGCATGAGACTGAGAAAGTCCTTGGTCAGAGTAAACATTACTGAGCAACAACTAAAAACATCGGTGTTATCAGTGTTGTTCCCAGGCTGAAAGTCAAAATCCCATCACTGTACCTGCTACTAAGAAGGAGAAAAATGACTGCTACTGCTGAATCCAGGACAGAGGGAAAAGTCAGTCATTAAAAAAAGTAATTTCACTGGTTTTGTTGGAATACAAAACTGATTCAAAGTTTCTTTAAGTCAAAGAAAGGTACTAGTTGACTGACGAGACATTAAATAAGACCTGACCACTTCAAGTTCATCACTAAGTTGCATTCATGCTGCTTCCTTACTAGAAGATGAAGATGAAAACACTTGCCTGTATCACTCTCAGTTCTGTATCTTCTACAGGAATTGTACTTCAAAAGAAAGGACAAGGAGAAAAAGATAGTGCTTGAGGAAATCAGGTCAGCAGGATAATCAAGAGATCAGACAATTCCCAAAGCTTTTCTCTATTTGGTTTCTCCAGCAGATGGGCCTTATTTAGCCTCTGTCTTCTGTTTTCACCCCATGATATGAATATTTAGTTGGCAGGGCAGAATAAAAATCCCACTGTTGCAATCTCGACTGTAGCAATTGTCCTTTGAGAATAGTCTGAACAAGTATTTCAATTGCATTGATAATACACAGTATTGTTGCCTTGCATTTTTTTCTATTCAGCCTTCTTTCTAGAATCACCTCCTAACGAAGATAGAAAAAACAAACAGGCAAAACTAGCACTCCATTATTTCTCCTCCAAGTGATATGAAAACACAGTTTATTTAGCGTTACCTGGTTCAAAGCACCACGAAATGCACAAAGAAACTGACTTGGAAGCTAAGAGGTTGGACATTTTCCAGTGGATGGACAATGGACTACAGCTTTCCCAAGTCAACAAGTAGAAGATACTTGCACCTGAGGCTCTAGACCACTGGGTGCCAGTATACCCACAGACCAGCTGTGCTGTGGGTGGGTTAGGTCGATATTCATTCTGTAGGAAACAATTCACTGGGAAGCACCAACTTCCTGACAGTCGATATAAACATTGCACATTTCTCAAGCAAGCACAAAACGGTCATGGAAGCTGTAGAGGACATCAAGGTAGTAACTGTAATGTAACAAAATTTCTTTACAGTAAGTACAGAGAGTCAGTTGGAGAACATATCATACTGTTTGAGTGTATGTGAAAAATGGCCTTTTGCTAGAACTATAAAAGAATTTGTGTTTATAATCTCCAATAGGCATGTCATTTATTATTTATTTACACGATAGTTTTGCAGAATCAGATGGATAATTTTGGTGTGGTCAGGAACTTGGGAAGTGTCACACTGATTCAGAGCAGCATTCCTGACAGAACACTAGCCTGCCTTTAGCCACAGCTGGGTGTTTCACAGAGCTGTGAAACATGCATAATGAACAGTGATGTGGGAATTTAATTTTCAGTATAAAGTCTTAATAGTTGATTTGTACCCTGAAACAGGCTTACTATCTATTTGAAAGGATAATCTTAGAGGAGGATATTTTTATTCTCCAGATATAGGTGTAATCCTTTTCTAAATCCTACTCATCATTTGCCTCAGTAGAGTCAGTGGCAAGAAGTTACAAAGTTATGAAGTTGCCCTGCATTAGTGTATTTCCTTCCAGCAGATTTAAGTGTATCTTTGTGAAAACGCTAAAATAGAGGGAAACAGCTAGGTTTAATGCAATCTGCCTTCTTAAAATGCTCACTGTTCTTGCTAAGGAATGCTTGTCTACTGCCTGCAACAAAACAGCTAAAACAGAACTGACCATGTTTTCAGTTATCATTCAGTAAACTTAACTGAGACTTACAAATTTAAAATGCTTTTTGGGAGTTTGGAGAAAAGGAAGTGTTTGATAGATAAATACATCTGAGTCCTTTCTGTTCTGGCCTTGTCTGTGGAGGCTGCAGCACAACATGGAGCCTCATTCTATATTTATGGGCTGTTGCCACAACTGGTTACAAGGGAAGCAGATTTCTTTCTGGAGGGCCAATTTGAGGAGCAGCCTGCTTCTTTGGGAAGAGAACAGTGCCCTGTCCTTTCTGTTAAGGCTTGGTGCAAGCAGAGTGTTGTGGTTTAAGCGCTGAATCCAGGACACAGAGAAAGGGGTAAAAATGAATCAGCCACAGAGAACATCAGTGTAGGGTAGAACTTGCATTTCACTCTGGAGTTTGTCAAGACCCTGCAAAACACTGGTCTGAAGAGTTAAAAGGATAAAGGAATTCCCTTGCAGTCCAAGACAAAGCAGTGAGTCCTAAGTGATTTGGCCATGTTAGAAGGAAGTCTAGATCACATATAAACCCCAGGAATATCTGACACCTGCATCTATTCTGTCTTGGGAATCTGTTTATTATACACATTTTCCTAAACAGACAACTCTTTAAATTGTTATTTTGTAATTTATTAAAAAACCCCAAACAAGCAAAAAAAAAAAACCAAACCAAAAACCCAACACAAACTAAAACCACACCATCTCAGAATAACTTCTAGCAGAGGACATACCATTTTCGAAATGACAACATGCAAGCAATACAGTTCAACTAATACCAGGGAAAAAAAAAAAAACCTGTTATTTTTCAGAGTAAGAAAAAGGTCATATCACTTAACTAAGTGTTCACTTGAAGAGGTTGATTATTGATGTTCTACTAAAGCTAACAGTGATGATGGTAGGAGCAAGGCCATGAATGTAAATACTTTTACTGAATATAAAACCATGTTTGATATAGCCCACTCCTCATGTTCTCCCAATGGCAAGAGTATAAAGCAAGATTTAGTTTATACTTACAGGGAAAGCAGAAATCCTCATAAGGTCATTTGGGGATTTGAACATACTTCAGTGCTGGTTCTGATTGATAAATTGATTTTTTTTATTTTTTTTATTTTTTTTTTTTTTTTTTTTTGGTGACATTGTTTCAAAAGCCAGAAACAGAAAAGACTAGGACAAGGACATCTTTCAGCTACCTCTTCCTGGACATTGGATGGATTGTATCTAATTTGGTGTAAAATGACACAAGGAAAGGGGCATAGGGACTGCTATGTTACTACTTTTATGAATTCATCTGGTTTCAAACTGTAGGCATTGGTTTTGCAGAATGAACATTTTAATGGAACAGAGCCCAGTTCCAAAACGTAACAAGTTTTAACAGTCCCACATTGATTTTGGCAATGTATCCAGTTTCTTTGTTCTTAATTTTCTTACAAATACAGGTAATGAAGCCACTTATTTACACAGTAGGACTTACACAACCTATGGTAGCATTAGGCCTTTTACATTATGGCAAATCATACAGATTAGAAAAATTATCAGAATAGAAATACTGTAATTTCCCAGGGTTTCTAGGTGCAGTGTTGATACTGCCTACCTACAAGGGACTTCAAACAACTGGTAACACTTATTTTTCTTTATGGTTCCTTGCCTTGATTTCTGAGCTTGCCTCTGTAGGCATTTACTCTGTGATGACAGGCAGCACAAAGAGGAGTGCTATCCTGCCTCAATTATGGTTTCAGCAGGGTGACGCCAACTGCTAAGCCTTCTTTCCAGTAGACAGCAGGGCTTTCCATAGATGATGTTTGTCCTGTTGAGCAATTTGGATAGCAGATTTTATATCCTATCTTCCGGATTTAATCTCAACCACAAGCAGCACATATTGCTTTCAGTCCTGAAACTCTCTTAAACCGATCTTTGTGTCGAATAAAAATGCAAAACTTTGAAATTACACTCACTTGGCCTAGAGAGAGGAAACAGACAGCTAATTATCTCTTTCAGCAGAATGAGGAAAAAATCCATTTCTAATTTTCTAATGTAAGTCACTCTGTCCCCAGAATCCTTTTCCATTTTCCTATGTACTGTCCAGTCCCTCTTATCCCTCCCTGCTGTGTTCTGCTATCCTTTTTCATATGTTACCCATCTAATTTAGTTTGTAAGCACCTTGGCTCAGGACACTTCTCTGTTTATTTTTCTGTAAGACCCTGCACAAATCCAGTTTTTATTAAAAAATAAACAATCAGACTGCATTTTTACTACGCAAATACTAAAATATTTACTGATCCCTCATTATAAATTAAGATCAAACTGAAAAACCCAATCCAACATCCTATATGCATAAAACCTTCTGGAGTGTTTGAAACTTGAACATAATTTTAAAGTGCTACTGTGTTATGTGGGCCATGTCAAAATAGCTGTCGTGACCACATCAAGAATTTAAGCTGAATTTCAGATGTGGAAAGCTTTTAAAATTAGCTCGTTTTAAGGTTTTTATTCTTTTCTTTTAAACAGACTTCTGTGTAAACAGCAGGTGAACAAAACTTTGTAGTTCTAATAGTAGACTGAGATACACAACAGGAAGAGGACTTCTGACTTCTTTGGTTTGGGCTTGTGGGGTAGGAATGGAGAACATTTTTAGCAAGCCCAAAGGAATTTGATCCTGAAATGTCATCATAATAGAGTCTCACCTTCACAATTCTACGGAATTTTTCTTTCTGTTTAGTACTTAACAGCTGAGAAAAGAGCTTTGATAGAACTTAGCCGGGAAAGCCTTCTGAACAGATCTCTTGGGTAACTGCAAATAACGAGTCTTTAACATTTACACTCCACTGCACTTACAGACTGTTACAGAAATTATGGGGATTTCTATCTTGAATAGTAACACAAGAGAGTGTTGTGTTTGAACTGCTAAACCGCTGTTTAATGCCCAAGAACATGTTGTTTTGACAGTTTGCAACATATTTGGTGTGCTTTGCCATTAGCCATTCCTCCCTGTCTTCTGCCCATGTAACTCTGCTGAAAAACACTACTTCTACAGTCCTTTCTGCAGTAAATAAATAAAGGAATGAAAAGAAGATTTTAAAGCTTTCATTATGTTGTTCATTATTGCATTACAGCATCGAATGTGTACATGCACCTTAAATGTCCATTTACAGTTCTACAAATGCCAGCTTTGCCAGCAGAACTACTTGCTACAGCTTTTAGTCACAGAAAACACTTACTGTTGGGGCTCTAAGAGGCAGGTCCATCAGTGTGTAGGCATTGGCTTCCAAGTCATTCCATGCGTTGAAGGACTCCACAATTTTGGTGCAGTTGGGGTCCTCAAAGGGACAAGAGATTCCCCCTTTGAATGGGCTGATTATTCACATGAACAAAATCTAAGAAAAGGAAAGAAAGAAAAGCTCTCCTCTGAATTTAGGTCAGCTAATTTACCTTTTTATATGTGTGTAAAGCAGATTGTTAGATTCTCTGGAATAATGTGAGGTCCAGTGCAGAGTTTCTCACTAGAGCTTCAGATTGCTTCACTCATCTTCAGCTTAGCAAAGGGCAGCAGCAGCAGCTTCCATTTAAATACAGGAGACAGCAGGGTCTGCACATGCCCAGTTTGAAGATTGTTCCATGCAGATTCCAGCTTCACTTTAATGAAAGTATATAAAACTGATGCTGACTTAAAAGTACTGTTTTCTTTTTTGCCTTTGGCAGTTTTATGTCTGAATTATAATGCTATATCTATGTTATCCACATAACTACATATGAAAACAAAGAAGTTAAAAGAATGACTTTACTGCTCATTATCACTGTATCAGTAGATTAGTTTTTTGTAGTCTGCTTTTAAAGAAGATGTATGTGTACAGTTCTGCTGAAATTGGCTGAACTCGAATAGATTCTGATATTTAACAATGTGCTTGTGTGCACTTCTGTCTTGTAGAATTTAGGTCACAGTTATTTGTTGGTCCACTTCTAAAAATAAACAAAAACTAGGGATAAAACCCACTGACATCATCCTTTTCAGCTCTTCAGTTAAAACAATAAATAAATAAAACCACAAAAACCCAGGCAAATACCTGAGGCAGAGAACAGCAAATAACACTTCTTTCAAGAGTTGTCTCCTTTCTTTTACAGTTGTCTTTAGTTAGCGTGTACATGAACAGATTCTTATTCACACTAATCTTCCTTTACGCTGCACTATGCAAAGAGATACGAATTGCTGTATTCACAGTTGAAGGCCCATTACTGTGGAAAAGTGAAGTTTAATTGCAATAGAGAATTAAGCACAGAGTGTGAAAAAGCTGTTCCAGCAGATACTGCAGCCTGAATATCAGAGAGTTTAGGCCTTCCACCCACTGTCAAAATGACCCTAATGAAAGCTATTAACTTCGTTGCAGCTGGTAATAAAAACAGATGGTGTGAACTGTTCCTGGAGGCCCTTGCGAGAAGGTTGTTATAGTACCAGTGGGATCTGTATTCCTCCAGCTCTGTGTGGATTCCCATTCTCACATACTTTTCCTTAAATTAGCACTCGCACAACCTAACCTTAAACTGGGGCAAAAGGGATTACATTTCTTTGCATGAACAGGAGCTGTGCCTTGTATCAAAGGCACTCATGTATAGTGCTGCAATTCCCTTTCCTTGATAGTCATTCAAGGCATGTAGCATTTACCTTGTGTCACCAGGCCACCAAACATTAACCAGAGGAGACACCTCTTAGACTCTACGGGCACTCAGACTGTGAGATCTTAAAAATAATTATGAGGAGACGACTTGTGAAAGGCAGAGAGATTTCATTGAGTATCTCTACCCTTCAGTGTTAGGGAGACACAACCAAGCCAGATTTAAACTAGCTGTGGCAGAACTCATCCCAGAGGTGGCTAATCACTAAACGATTTTCAACATTGTCAGTGTCTGAAATTTTGTGGTCATTTTCTAGGGTGTGTTCTTCCCCTTTTCTCTACGTGTGACATCAGACACATGAATATCAGGGCAATAGTGGATATGACATTAGTGGTATGAACTTCAAAAGACACTGATGTGAACTCCAAATCCATCACTGTATCACTGTATTCCTGGACACACAGTGTTTGCACACTGTAGGTATGAGGCAGCAAACAGTGGTGTTGGACATTTTGACAGGACGCTTTTGGAAGGTAATTTTGCATTTTACTACTAAAAAGGCAGGAGATGTCATTACAGAAAGCCACAATGTGAAACTGTCAAAAAATTGTATTTTCTTCAAATTAAGCTTATCAAGAGAACAGAGAAGAAAGTATATTTTAATTATGAAGTGCAAAGAAAGGAGGCAATGGGAGATTTGTGTGAACTTTATGTTCAAAGAAGTTCTGTACAGTTACATCCTGCTCTTATCAAACTGATAAGATATAAAGTTTGAGACATATAATCTTCAAGGACAGGCATAAATACTCGGTCAGAGGTGTTCTTTGGCTTGGTATTCTAATTTTCTTTGCTCAAATCCACTTAGTTTTCCGCTTTATGTCTTAGTTTTGTGCAATGCAAACACTCACTCTCTTTACATACAGCTTGTACATTAGGCTTTTCTTTTTCCTGGGTCACAGATTACATTTTTCTTTCTTATTTCCTCTCACCTTAATAACAACTCAATGCACTAAAAATATTTCATTTCCAATTAGCCTGTAAGCGTTCAATTTTTGCTACTGTTAGGGGAACTCATAATGTGTCTGGCAGAGTAATCAAATCATGGAATAAATCTAATATTTTTTAAAGTAAATTGGACATTATAGAATCTATGTGTCTTCCTGATTCATTAGATTTGGTGATGGTGTACTTTCCAGATAGAATAATAAGATTAGTACAGCAGCTCTCAAGAGTATATTATGAAAGAATATGCAGTAGAAAGGAGAGAAAGAAAGTTTTCCCAGTGAGAAGTGGATGTTAGTCCAAAGAGGGCTATTGATTTGATATCCTTCCTTAGCCTCTGGGGCCTGTTTTTGTGAATGCTAAGCATTTGCAAGCTAGAGGTGAATTTCTGAAAATTGGACCCTAACACTAAGATTTATGTCCAATGGAAATGTTCTCATATGATTACAGTTGTCTGATCCTGTGTTACAGCCAATTGCTCGAGGCAATTCAGCTGACCTATATTCTGTGCAGTGCATCAGCTTCCACCGAAGGAAGTCATGTCCTAGAACTGCAGAAGGTGTGAAGTGTGAGATACCTCATTTTCTGTACCTAGGGCTTGGGAATTCAGACAAAGAAATAAAATAGCAAATCATTCACAGAACCTTTCTCTCAGATTTGCTTTTGTTTTTTATGCAGTATTAAATTAGAGAGAAGAGCTCAAAGTCTTTCATTAAGCGATAATTGTTTTTCTTTAAGGTTATCTCACTTAAAGTTATCAGAACACTAGACTTATGGATCTGGAGGGAAATTTGCTCTCTGTGTCTTCCTCCGTCATTCTCTACCAAAAGCTTAGCTATGTTGTATCCCTGGAAAACTTAATGGAGGAAATGTATCAGTTCATAACCCCACTTACTTGCTAAAGCTATCCAGCTCATCCTAAAGTTTTCAAATATTTCTGCCAGTGTTGTGTGTGAAACACGCCAGAAGCCTTATGCCCCAGGTCTGAATTACCCTCCAGTCACTTCTGGGGAAAAGAAAACGTGCCCAGAATTCATCATTGAGTCCTGTCACATCAAAGTGTGGTGAGAACATCTTTCTGTGTTTTAGGGTCCTGACTTTCACCTGCTCCTCTGTGGTGGGTTGACCCTGGCTGGATGTCAGGTGTCCATCAAGCCACTCTGTCACTCCCCTCCCCAGCAGGGGAAGGAGGAGAGGAAATAAGATGGAAAAAAATTGTGAGTCAAGATAAAGGCAATTTAATAAAACAAAAGCAAAGGCCACACATGGAAGCAAAGGAAAACAAAATATTTATTCTCTACTTCACATCAGCAGGCAATGTCCAGCTATCTCCCAGGAAGCAGGGCTTCAATACACATAGTGATTGCTACACTAAACATCATAACACATGCTCCCCTTCCTCCTTTCTCTTAGCTCTTGTTGCTGAGCAGACATTATATGGTATGGAATATCTCTGGTCAGTTTGGGTCAACTGTCCTGGCTGTTCTCCCTCCTAGGATCTTGCCCTCCCCCAGCCTAGTGCGAGGGGGGAATGTTGGAGGAACAGCCTTGATGCTGTGAAACTAGCCAAAACACTCCTGTGTTATCAATGCCATTCTAGCTACCAGCACAAAGCACAGCACTATGAGGGCTGCTATGGGGAAAATTAACTCCATTTCAGCCAAACCAAATACAACCTCTTGATACCGATAATTAATCTCTGTTCATAGCTTTTTATAAACTACAGGCAGAAGCAGCAGAAAGAGCGATTCCATGAAACTGAAAAAATTGCCTAACAAGACAAGGGAAAGATAATACATGGGTAAAATTTAATTAAAGACCAAATGAGTTTAGGAGTTCTTTCACAGTGAGTGAAAGGGAGCAGTGTCCTCTTCTTTGGCTGGGAGCTCTGCGTAGAATAAGGTTTTAACTGATCTGCAGGAATACAGAATGGAGTGAAAGAACAGGTAATTTGCTGCTTAGAAGATAAGCAGACTGCTGTCGGGCTATTAGAAGACCAGGGGTACGGTCAGCCAACTTTATTGTCTCTGAGACATATGTACAAAAGCTCACTTGGGCTTCCTTTAGTTTTCCAAAAGATTACCTGGGTTTCCAAGGCCAACATAAGGGAAGTGGAATAGACTACTCAATTGTAGGAAAGGTAAAGTACCACTCATCTTTGATACAAAGAAGATACTGTGCAGATACAGCTCTGATGCTTGGGTTACCACAAATGAGGAATGCACAAGGCGAGGAAGTTGGGTATTTCTGAGGCTTACTAATAAGTTGTGTGATTTTTTCCCCTCTTTATGACATGGAGAATGATAGTGATAACCCCTGTAATACACCTTGGGGTAACAATGCTGCCCTCAAAATATGCTCTGCTTGCCTTCTAGACACACAAGGTCCTCCTGTAGTCTTCGGATAGAGGGAGGAATTACTGATTTTTCACTTGAGAGCCTATTCATTTTCAGTATCTCTCTTTCAAATGCAATTCCACATTACAAAATCTGAGTCCATTGCAGCCTTCCTTACATATTCCCTCCTGTAAAGAAGTTGTAAACCCTGGGTATCCGGTGTGGTATTCCTTGTCAGTGGCAGTAACATCTGAAAACACATTTCCCTGAGAGACCTACTTTTATACTGGTACCTGCAACAAACTTGTCTGCTTAGATATGCAGGTGAAAACTGATTGCTCATTTTATACAGAAATCCGGTTTCAGCCATCTGTGTTCTTTTTGCC